AATGGGATTTGGAGGTCTGTGCGGATGGTAAGGTTGAATACGAAGTTCCTTGGGCAATTGTTTTAAGAATTTTTGGCTGAAGTGACTCCATTCTTTGGAGGTTTTAATGGTTAGTTGAACCACAACAGTTCTATTCTGTCCAGATCGTTTGTATTAATGACTTTGAGTAGTTTATATCGCCTGTCAAGTTCTATTATTTCGTGTCGATTGTGGGGTTCCGAGACTTTTGTCGATGTTAAGCCCCAAACTGCGGACGACATTGGTTGCTATTTAAAAAACAACAACGATGTTTTCTGTTTGAAAGGTCTTGAATCATAGCAGTAAAATATGTTTGTGAGTGGGTTAGTGACCGAAAATGAGGAATAAGAAACATAGGGACTTACATAATAAAAAGTTACTTTTTTAAACTGTGCGTTTTAAAATTTGTATTTCTCTAATACACAAGATAAACAGAAGTAGCCCAAAGGAAGTCAAACTTGGAAGACACGATCTTATCATGATCGTGAAAATAAGAAAGTATTCCCACAATAAAATACTCAAGTGGAACAATAATTCTGCGTCGATGACTCCTCGTATCAATAAGAAAAAATGAAAAATAAGAGTTTGTGAACCAAGGAGCGTGGGATAGTTGACACTTAGAAAGCGTTCCAATTTTTAAATTTATCTTTTTGAAAAATTGTAAAATAATTGAAATTTAGAAGAAAAGAAAAGCACAAACTTGGAAAGATGTAGTTGAAAAAATTTAGATGGCACGGTCTTATTCTTAAAACATTTGTTTCTTCAGACTTTAAACAAAATTATGGACAGAACGAGTTTTTGGAATTGCAGAAGCGTTTTGGCAAGATGTTCAGAAGAATTTTGGAAGGCCAAGGATTCTCAACCTTATTTTCTTGAGAGGATTTTTTTAAAAGAATTTATGGACGATAAAATCATTTAAGCGGAAAGGTAATGTTGTTTTAAGATACTGCGAAAAAGTTTATTATAAGGAGAGCTTGAGAGTGGAGCGAGTTTTTGGGTTGCCGAAGCGTTTGGTCAGATTTAGATGAAAATTTGAAAGGCTCGACTTATTTAGCCTTAATTTATTGACAAAAGTAAAAACAGTAAAATATGTTGGTGAGTGACCACCAACAAAATCCATCAGTAGGGACATTCTACTTATTGTTAGTAAGAAGTTAAAATCTTAAAATCTTAATTTCTGAAAAATTATATTATATTGAGTTTTAGAAAAAAACATAAATTTGGTCAGATGTAGTTGAAAATGTTGGAAGAAACAATCTTATTCTTAACGTCTCTTTTTTGAGACTTAAAAAAAAATTTTTTTGGAGGGTAAAATCTATTTAGTATTCTACAGAAAATGTTTAAGCAGAAAGACAAATTCTGTTTTAAGATGCTGTTATCTGCGAGGAAGTATGCTAAAGAGAGTTTGTGAGTGGAGCGAGTTTTTTGCCGAAGCGTTTTAGGCAGATAGAGATGAAAATTTGTAAGGCACGACTTATTAAACTCAGTTTTTTGACAGAAGGTTTTTTTTAGAAATTTATGAGCAGTAAAACTCTGAAATATTCCAAAGAACACATTATTCAAGCATAAGAATGATTTATAGTTTTAAGGGAATAAGACAGCTAATTTATCTTGTACAAAATAGGCTTTAGTTTAATATACAGGGTGTTTGGCTACTCGTGTTACGTACGGACTTTGCCAGTAGATTCTACATTCAAAATGGAACCAAAAAGTCCTAATTAACTATGGTCCGAAGCTCATCTCACTAGTGCAAGTGTTTACTTAAACTAGTTTAAAAAAAAGTTTAATTAATCCATTCAAAATCTCCTTTTTTTTAAATTTTCTACCTTCCCTATCTTTTAACCATGGATTTTCCTTTCATTCATCAATTTCCCATCTTTGGAAAAAACAATTAAAAAAGCAATTGCACCACTAAAAAAGATATTAAATGGAGTACGTTTGCTGATGTCTAGGTTTGGAAATAGTAGTTTAAAAACACCATAGTAAGTTTTTCAACTTTGAAAAATAAATTTTTTGTGAAGTCTCGCTACTAAAAACGCTTATTTCACGAAGGTTTACAAGTTCAGTGTTGATCACATCTTATTGGAAATTTGACGTAGTTTTCAATGGTATCAACGGATTTGTCTAAAACCTTTTAGTTTTGGAGTTATCATTGTTAATTTGAACCAAGGTCGTGAAATCTTAAAAAATCAGAAAAAATGGAATAACTCCGAAACTGCAGAGATTCGGACCATAGTTAATTAGGACTTTTTGGTTATATTTTGAATGTAGAATCTACTGGCAAAGTTTGTAACACGAGTAGCCGAACGCCCTGTTTTTGAAAAAATAAAAAAGCATTTGGTCCCAAAAACAGTCCCCCCAAAGCAAATTATCTTTCTGCTTAAATTATGTGTTTTGTTGGATACTTCAAAGAGTTTTACCGCTCATAAAACTCTGAAAAAGCCTTCTGTCAATAAATTAAGGCTAAGCTTATTAAGTCGAGCCTTCAAATTTTCGTCTGTATCTGACCAAAACGCTTCGGCAATCCAAATACTTGCTCCACTCACAAGCTCTCCTTATAAATAAATGTGTGGTATTTATTGACCGTTACTTGATGATTATTTGGAGGTCGTGAGATGCGGTCTGATGTGACGTAGGTTTTACAAAAACGTTTTCTTTATCGTTCCACGTTTCGATTTTTATGAGATCATCTTCAGGGCTCAGTGTTTGTTTTCCGTGTAGATGTGCCATTCTTGTCTGTCGTGTTAAGAGTGCCCAAAAGTATAAATAAATGGGCACTCTTAACACGACACGCAAGAATGGCACAATTACTCTACTCAGAAGACAAACACTTTGAGCCCTGAAGATGATCTCAATAAAGATCGAAACGTTGGCACGATAAAGAAAATGTTTTTCTGAAACCTATATCTCACACCAGACCGCATCTCACGATTTCTGAATAATTATAAATAAACTTTTTCGCAGTATCTTAAAACAAAATTACCTTTCAGCTTAAATGATTTTACCGTTCATAAATTCATTAAAAAAATCCTCTTAAGAAACTAAGGTTGAGAAAGAGATGGGGCCTTCCAAAATTTCATCTGAACATCTTGCCAAAACGCTTCTGCAATTCCAAAAATTCGTTCTGTCCATAATTTTGTTTAAAGTCTGAAGAAACAAATGTTTTAAGAATAAGACCGTGCCATCTAAATTTTTTCAACTACATCTTTCCAAGTTTGTGCTTTTCTTTTCTTCTAAAAGTCAATTATTTTACAATTTTTCAAAAAGATAAATTTAAAAATTGGAACGCTTTCCAAGTGTCAACTATCCCACGCTCCTTGACTCACGAACTCTTATTTTTCATTTTTTCTTATTGATACGAGAGAATTATTATTCCACTTGAGTATTTTATTGTGGGAATACTTTCTTATTTTCAACGATCATGATAAGATCGGGTCATCCAAGTTTGACTTCCTTTGAACAATTTTTGTTTATCCTGTGTATTAGAGAAATGTAAATTTTAAAACGCACAGTTTAAAAAAGTAACTTTTTATTATGTAAGTCCCTATGTTTCTTATTCCTCATTTTCGGTCACTAACTCACTCGCAAACATGTTTTACTGCAAGGATCCAAGACCTCTAAAAAAGAAAGCATCGTTGTTGTTTTTTAAATAGCATCCATTGTGTTCGGCGTTTTGGGGTTTAGCTTGGCCAAAGGTTTGGGACCCCCACAATCGACACGAAATAATAGAACTTGACAGGCGATATAAACTACTCAAAGACATTAATACAAACGATCTGGACAGAATTTAAGTAACTATTAAAACCTCCAAAGAATGGAGTCACTTCAGTCAAAAATTATTAAAACCATTGCTCAAGCAAATACGTATCCGACCTTACCATCCGCACAGACCTCCAAATCCCATGTATAACTGAAACTGCACAAAGTCGATATAGACACCTCTATAAAAGCCGGGGCCCTCATCCTACGATCTTCTCAGACTAAGTTTTTTCATAGATTTTCATGAAATATATAACGTTTTTAGAGCAGGCGTACAAAACGTGTCATGGGTTTTAAGTTGAGTCCTTGGGTCGAGCGTCATGTCCAAAATCCAAAAGAATTGTCAGTGTTTTCGAGAAAGCTTACTAAAGAAGATCAACGAATGAAATATGTTCAATTTAAAAATCAAGCTACGATTTTATCAGATTTAGATTGTTAAGAGATTTTTATGAGATATGGGCGTATAAAATTCGAAATAGGTGTGTGTGTGTGTGTGTGGTGATTAATGATTAATTCGAGATAGGGTTTTATGTTGAATCCTTGAGCCGAGCATTGATGTCCAAAATCCAAAAGAAATGTCAATGTCTTCGAGAAAACTTATCAAAGGATGATCAATAAATGAAAATATTATTCAAATTAAGGACAAGACTTAGTTTGTCCAGAGATTTTTATGAGATATAAAACTTTTTTTTAGAATGGGCGTATAAAATTTGAGATAAGGTTTTAATGTTAGTCCTAGGTGTGGGTCTCGCTATCCAAAATCCAAAACCAGTTCTTGCGCGGGTTCTCCAAAGTCGTTCGAATTCAATTAACATGTTCTCAATAGGGTCTTCGTTTGTTGATCATACGCGCCTGACTGCGAAATTTTGCATTCACGATTGGGAAGAAACATCTTCATCTGTTGGAACAGCGATTGAAATGAGAAATTGTTGCAGTCAGTTTTTTATTTCTTTTGGCGGGTATTCTTCACCGATTAATTAAAACAAGAAGAAGGCGTTTTAAATGCACATTTGTTTGAGAGATAAAAAGTGGAGTGTTTCTCTCTTCTGTTTAATGGGGGGAAAAAACTGAGATTATCAGCGGATCCAGCTCGCCATCTACCGTCAGACGCTGCAAAATTGTTCCATTTGGAAAAAAAAATTGTCGGCGTTTTTTATTTTAATAGATGAGTTGTTAAAAACGTAATTTTTTTTGCCGGAGCCAGAAATTGTCAATGAACTCACCGTTGTCGTCAGAATATCCCCAATCTAAGGACATATCTAGGATGTAGACGGGTTCGGGTGTGCAATTCGTCTGCTCGCTTCCTCGGCGTCCGGCGATACTTTTATAAGCTGCAGCCGTGGTGGGGGGCCGCAAGGAGCGTCAATTAAACAGGGCCGCGGGTCCGTTTTTCTCGACGTGGCGGATCTTCGGCCCGTCGGAGTGACGGCCGTCTCGTCGGAAAATCTTCAGCTTCGTCGAGAAAAATCGGCCAAAACGGGAAAACTTCTCTCGGGGCGGATTGAATTTGACATCCCGCCGGCCGGCGACGTGACTCGATACGGCGGCGGGTATCGATTCTCGACTCGACACATCGATCACAGCTCCAATCTACACGTGTTCCCTTCTTCGGTTGTCAAACTCAAACGTTAACAGCTGTCAATCTCCCCCGAACCGCCCTTCTCGCTTTTTGAAATCTGCCAGTTTTTATTTTATTTTCTTAATAAAATGTCGGTTGAAGAACTCCAAAAAACTATCGCAGACCTTAGAAACGAGCTGGAAAGAGAGAAGTCGAAAAACGATGTGATCTCCAGGGGCAAAATCGAAGAAATGTCGAGTGAAGTCGTTGACTCCAATCCTTACAGGTAGGCACTTTCTCATGAAAATTGACAAAACGGCTATAGTGTGGATTAAATTTTGGCAGCTTTACTCATTTTAAATATTCACACATATCTCTATTCTGCAATTATTTCATATTCTCTATCTAGCCCAGGGCTTCCCAAGCTTTTTAGCCATATGACCCCTCTCATTCATACACTGACAGACAAAAAAACCACCCAATAATTTTTTTTTCATTTTCTCGTTAAAAGAAAATTCCGCCCTCAATTTGTCTCATTGTTTTTATCAGTAAATAATTGTTTATGCTATGTTTTAAATTAGCAATGTCAATTACAGGTAAACCCTCTTAATCCTTAATCCAAAACGATGATAAAGGCTTTTTCAATGTCTACTTTTTACGGAATTTAAAATGTTTATTCAGTCTCATTTACAATCTGAAGTAATAAACTGTTTAGTTTCATCTTTGTTTTCTTAATTTCAATTTTTAAACTAAAATATGCCACTTTGTGCTGAGGATGTTGCATGTGGTGTGGCACTTATTGATGATGGATCAGGTATGCGGCTATTGCCATCGGAGTTCCCTACGAAACACTGTGCAACGCTTTCGAGAAACTGGGTCCTACCATAGAAGTTTGGATTCTGGACGCCATAGAGTAACTGAAACACAGGATGTCCGTTTTTTTACTTTGAGAATTTTGCGAAACGGACCTTACTGTTGTTCAAGTGATTCATCAGCACCAGGATGTTCGAGGTGTCCAAATTTCTGAACTCACTGCTTGAAGAAGATTAAATCAGTATGGACTGATGGCTTTTCTGTCAAAGGACCAGAATGCATGGAGTTGCCCGGCTCGCATTTGCCCGAGAATACAGCAGGTCTTTGGACAATTGGTCTGCTGTACTTTTTAGAGATAAGTGTACATTTGCTATAAGATCTCCAAATGGGCGTTAAAGAGTATGGAGCAGGCGAAATGAAAGGTACGAAGGCTGTAATTTTTCCCAGAGCCAACCTTTTCAACGTAGCTCAGTGATGGTGTGGGTGGGAATTTCAATGGAGAGTCGCACAGAGTTGCTCGTTGTTCGTGTGTTTGACGGCCACTCGCTATGTGGTGAAATTTTGAACATCATGCATAGCCTATCCTCGATGAAATCAGCACCAATCCTATTCTAATGCAAGATAATGCCTGTCCACATGTTGCTCGCATAGTGAAAACATACCTTCAACAGCATAACATTAGGGTCTTACCCTGGCCAGCCCGTTCTCCAGCCTTGAACCCATAGAACATTTATGGGATAACCTCAAAACACATGTCCATCACTTCCTGATACATTCCACGATCTTGAAAGGACGCTTCGTGAAGAATGGGCTACCTCCAGCAAAGAGACATTTCCAGACTGGTAGAAAGTATGCCAAGTATGCCTAGGTGTCTTCGAGATGTAATTAAGGCTTCCCATATCAACACATAGTATTGTTAAAAGTCTTGCCTTCAATGGCTGGGATTTGATATAATTAATAATTTACATAGACTCATCTTACAGATCACAGTTTGGGAAGCTTCAATCTAGCCCATAGTTGTAGTGTACATCAAATCTCCCATTGCATGGATGCTCAGATTGAGTAATGACCCATTGGGACTTCTGAGGATGGATCAAATCCATGGTTTTCTGGCTTGTGTAAGGTTTAATACGAAGTAGGGAGCTTTGGCAGTGGTTTGAAGGATATTGGATTCTCTGGAGGATGAGACCAGTTGAACCCACGAGGTGTTAGTTTTGTAGAGAGTTTCACTCTGTCATCTAGTTTTAATTTTTTGAGCTGAGTGTTGGGGTTCCCAAGTAAGTTTTTTGGCCTTAATATGATCCTTACTTGACTTCACAGAAACACCCAGACCAACTGAAGATGACAAAATGCATCTAACAGACCAGCTCACAGGGTATAGGAACCAAAGTGATAGATAACTACTAAATGTCATGTCCATCACCCTGCATACAATATGGAGAAATGCCACAATAAATATTAACATGTTTATGAAGTGGATACTTAATTTTCTTTTTGTATTTTCGCTTATTGACAAATAGCATGGGTTTTGATCATTGGCTTAGGGATTTGTTAGGTTAAGTCAGAGTTAGGGTTAGTGATGTGTTACATGTCCATAATTCAATGTTTTGCATTAAATTTAATGCCGATGATTTTCACCTATTAGAATATAATTTTGTAATATCAAATGTAATGACAAAGACCAAGAAATAGACATGTACATGGGGTGTGTAAAGAAGTATTTTAAAAAATGTATGTATGATACTTGATCACTCTAGTTGGTTTGTCAATTACTTTACATAAAATAATGAGATAAATATATACAGTGGAACCCCTCTATAATGGAGCCTCAAGGAAAAAGGTTTTGTCCATTCAGAAGGGATTCCAAGAAAGTCTTTTGTTGTTGTAAATTCCCAAATAGTGGACGACATTGGTTGCGGGTAGAGGAAGAGAGTTTTTGTAGACAGGATGAAAGGTGATATGGCCAAGGGTGAAAATTGTTTGCTAGGATTTGGTTTTGTTGCTTCTGATCCTCTATTTCTTGGAGCCCCAAAGATATCTGATGGCCACTACTGGATCTGAGTTTGTTGAAAGGATGACAGTATCATTTGCATGAGGAGTACAGTATCAGTGTTGATTGGAATGTTTGCAGTTTGTATTGAACAAAGAAGGACCCGACTGCCGTACGGAGTGCTTCAGCATAAAGGATAGGAGAGATGGATGCTCCAATTCGTACTTTTAACTACTTAACAGACAGATAAAATTTTACAATGAGGACATATGTGAATGGAAAGATGCCCTTGAGTTTACAGAGCATACCCAGTTGAATACTTGACAGTGGCAATATTGAATGGTAGAGTTTGAACCCAAATTTATGAAAATGTAGAAATGTCACAATAAATTGTTCACATGTTTTTGAGCTGGAGAAGCAATTTTTTGCATTTTTGCCTTACCAGTGAGTATGCATGGATTTTGATTAGGTTAGGGTCTTGTTAGTTTAGGTTCGTTAGGGTTAGGTTATATTAGGGTTAGTGACTGGTTAGGCTACATATTAACCATTAGAATTTAATTTTTTTAAACATAGGTGTAAAGCCTATAGGCCAAGAAGTAGAAATGTACGTAGGGTGTGTAAAAAAATATCTATGATACTTGACCACTTTGATTGGTCCATCTACTGTGAGATAAATATATACAGTGAAACCCCTCTATAATAGACAGCAGACATACTCGCTTCAAAAAAGGAGCCTTGGGGCACAAAGTCAATTTTTCCCAATATTTATAAAACCAATAAAATTCAGAGAATACGTGCTATGTTGTTCTTGTTATTAGTCTTATTTGTACTAACGTGGCAAAATTCTTATATAGACTGATATGATTAAAATTATTTCATTTACAATGTTGCACCGATATTAATTAATAAACTGAGTAAAGCTGCCAATACTTTGACATTTTATATTTTAAAATAAGCTGCATTTACAAAAATATATGTATTAGTTGTATTTGTTTTATAGTCGTTTAATGGCTCTGAAAAGAATGGGAATTGTATCTAATTATGAGAAAATTCGTAATTTTTCGGTCGCAGTTGTTGGAGTCGGAGGGGTTGGCAGTGTCACTGCTGAAATGCTTACCCGATGCGGTATTGGAAAGGTAAATTGTTTTATCAATAATTTTATATCTAAGTTTTTCCATTATTTTCTTTCCTTTTAGTTTAGTTATTTTTAGAACGCATTTAGGCTATTTATTGATTAAGTTCTAATACCTACTAAGTGAACCATTTACAAATTATGACTTTTCTTTTTTAACAACTGTATTCTTTGAAGTTTCACTTAGTGAATTAGATTAGTCATTTGTTCCATCGCTTATACTTTAAGATGAAAGTAGTTATTAACTACGATCAAAATATTCAAATAAAATCATTTGAGTTTTAGTGTCATTTTTAAAAGCCTAACTATATCATGTGCATTATGTTGGATGTAACGATGATTATGTAATTTTTTTCCAGCTGATACTATACGATTATGACAAAGTAGAATTAGCAAATATGAACAGACTGTTCTTTCAACCACACCAGGCTGGTCTTTCAAAAGTTGAAGCTGCCGCTAGAACGCTGTCATTTATCAATCCAGATGTTGTGATTGAAACTCATAATTACAACATCACCACTGTTGACAACTTCAATCAGTTCATGGAGAGCATTGAGTAAGGTTTTTTTACAAGTTTAAAATAGGATAATTTATGATATAAGATGGTTTTCAATTTTGTAGGCATGGTGGAGTAGAATCAGGCACTGCGGTGGACATTGTGCTCAGTTGTGTTGACAATTTTGAAGCGCGAATGGCCATAAATGCAGCATGTAATGAAATCAATTTACCTTGGTTTGAGTCTGGGGTGGCTGAAAATGCAGTTTCAGGTCATATACAATTAATTATACCTGGAGAAACAGCTTGTTTTGCGGTTGGTTGTATATTATTTTCTAATTTGAACATTCTGAAATGGCTTTGGGCAACTGATGTTATTTTAGTGTGCACCTCCTCTCCTCGTTGCGTCTGGAATTGATGAAAAATCGTTAAAAAAAGATGGGGTTTGTGCTGCAAGTTTACCTACTACTATGGGAATCATCGCAGGGTTTTTAGTGCAGAATACTTTAAAGTAATTATAATAATTAGTAAATTTTATAATTTTTTTCATGTTGTCTTTCAATATTTTATCAGTGTAGGGTTGTAATTAGGAAACTCTTTCGACGTATATAAATTATTTTCTTTGTAACATTTTCAAAACTCTGGCTGGTTTCCTCTTCAGCATCATGTGTGAACATAAAACATTGAATTAATGATATATAACCTAACTCATTGCTAACCTTTTTAGCCTTACCTAACAAGTCCCTAACCCAACTCAATCTATTATAACTTAATCAAAACCCGTTCATAAGCCCAATAATACTCATGCAAAAAATTGAGTCTCATGTGATGGACTTGTAATTTGGTCATTTTCAATCATTTTGGTTTCAGCTTTTTATCCATTAATTAGGTGTTATTCATTATCCGCTTCACAGAAAAACATTCAATCAAGAATATGTTACCTAACCCTAATTAACCTAACACATCCATAACCCAACTTATCCCTTAGTTGTCCTTTTTTTATAGCCATTTATTATAGGAATATTTCTTTATTATAATATTAGCTATTTTAAAATTCCTCTATACTTGAAAATAGTGTTCCAGTTGGCAATACTAAAGTTAAAGCATGTGTCTGCTGTTAGCATGGGGTTTAGAAGATTATATCAAATAATAGTTCCCCACTGAAAAGTGAATCCACTGTATTTAATGTGGTTATCTCTGTTGTTCTATTCTGTTTGGGGTTATAAATGATAACCTAATCAAACCCCTTGTCAGTAACCAAAAAATGCTCACCTAAAAAATTGTGTATGCAGCTCACAAGAGATCAGTGTTAACATTTATTCAGAGATTTGTTCATGTGGTCTGCAGGGTGAGAGACCTGTAATTTGGTCATTTCCGATCATTTTGGTCTGCCTATCCTCACTGGTCATTAGAAAAGGTGGCTGCGGTGGACAAATGGTTAGGCCGTCCAACTCTATTTGCCCAGGGAATTTTACTTCGTAATCATATATAAAAATTGTTGTAGAGTGAGTGGTTTTACTCCTTGTTTGTGATGCCCAATGGGTAGTTCAACATAAAACCCTCTTTGTATGACAGGAATTGCTTTACTTTTGGTATGAGTTTTTAATTAAACCCTACACTTTAAAATAATTTTTGCACCTTTTTTGTGTGAAATGTTTGATTTGCATATTCCTTGGTGCACAATTGGTGCAAATTTTTGTCTGTTTTAGAAAATTGCTTGCGTTCGGCGAAGTTACAAAATATTTAGGGTATAGTGCACTCAATGATTTTTTCCCTACAATGGAATTAAGAGCTAATCCACAGTGCGATGATTCATTCTGCAGAAAACGACAAGAAGAATATGCCGCGAAACCAAAAGAAGTGAAATTACAGGAAAATAAATCTGATGTTGTAGTGCACGAAGACAATGATTGGGGTAATTTTTTGTGTGTTAATTTTTAACAATAACTCATCAAATTAAATAAGTTTTTATAATGTTTAATTTAACACAGAACATTTTTTAAGGTATAACATTAGTTGATGAAACTCCTGCTGAAACCAGTGGCTTACAAAAGAAAGGTGCTGGAGATGAAGTAAAATTGGCAGAAGGGCTCCACAGGCAATTCGAGCGAGATACAACCGAATTTCAAGAAGCGGGAGAAACAGTAACTGTTGAGGGAAATGTTTCCATAGAGGAATTAATGGCAAAACTGAACTCTCTGTGATAAGATTTTTTTTTATTATGTACATGTGGGAAACAAGATCTACATAAAATCGCCTCATTCCTTAGCATACAATTTTCACCACAAATGTCACTTTTTAAGTATTTGTTATTTTAAAATAAAAAACCTATACAATTAATACATTTTAACTTACTTTACAAGTAAGATGAACTGATATTTTGGAATGTAAATTTTTAAATTTTATTTTTTTTACTTTTGAACTTTAGCCTAGAATTGATATTTTTCATAGAATCGCTTATTAGTTCAATAATCTGGTGACAAAATGAAACTGATGGTCACCACATACAGGTTAAAATTATGGGTCAACATTTATAAAAAAAAATTTTTTTTTTCAAATTTGCAAAAGTCAATATCATCAAATCAAATTGGTATATTTTGCTATTCAATATTTTACTTTAAATTAATACAGCATAAAATTTTTCTTTTACTTTAAGTGATAATGCAAAGTATTCTTATCTGTTTTGTCTTACATTATTGCTCATTTGTGGAAAAAGTGTTTTTGATACTTTACTTTTTTTATTTATTTTTAATTAAAAAAAGTTTATGTCTCTACTGTATTTAATAAGTGTTATTATTTATGTAAATGGAGAAACAGTTACACCAACATTTTAAAATTTTATGTTCAAGTTAATTGCTTGTTCGACTGAACTGCATGGATGATTTACCTAAAAGATCAAAAAATAAAATTGTTAATAGAAAATTCAATTACAAGTGTTATCTATTTGAGAGAAGCAGGTTTCTTTATTTCAAGATCCAAAAATTACAGGCAATTGTCATAAATGCTGTTTTTTTCCTACTTGAAATTCATTTCAGAGGTAAAGGTATCAAGGGAAAAAGGATTTGAGGCTCTTGGGCAATGGCTCGAGGGGTTTTGGATTGGAGCAATTTGATTCTCCAGAGGGGACGCTTGGTCAAACCCACGAGGCATTTGTTTTGTAGTGAGAGTTTCACTCTGTCATCAAGTTTTAAGTCAGTTTTAATTTTTTGAGCAGAGTGTTGGGGTTTCCAAAAAGTCGTTTGCCTTTAATTTGATCCTTACTTGACTTCACAGACCCACTGAACATGACAAAATGCATCTGACAACAGCAAACCACAGACAACACGAGAAATGCCACAATAAATGTTAACATGTTTGTGAGCTGGATACATTTTTTGTATTTTTGCTTACTGACAAGGTTTTGATTAGGTTGGGTTGGTTAGGGACTTGTTAGGTTAGGTTAAGTTAGAGTTAGGGTTAGTGACGGGTTACATATCCACAATTCAATGTTTCACAGTACATTTAATAATGAAGATTTTTCACGTATTAGAATATAATTTTTTTAATAACAACAATGCAATGAAAAGGCCAAGAAATAGACATGAACATGGAGTGAGTAAAGAAGTAGTTTAAAAAAATATATATGATACTTGATCAATTTAGTTAGTCTGTCTACTACTTTACATAAAACAATGAGGTAAATATATATAGTGAAATCCCTCCATAATGGGCACACTAGGAAGAAGTTTATGTCCATTCAGGTAAGATGTAAAATACCAAGTACCATGTAGGTTGCAGAGAGAGGAGAGTTGTAGCAGAAAGGATGGAAGGTGATATGGTCTTATTGAGTCTGTTCCTCCCGTTCTTAAAGCCCTGGAGGATGACGGTACAGTTAGCCTGAACCCAAATTTATTGAAAAGAAGTAACACAATAAATTTTAACTTTTTTTTGTGTTGGGTACACAATTTTTTGCCTTTTCGCCTTACCAGCAAGTATGCATGAGTTTTGATTAGGTTAGGTTGGATTGGGTTAGGGACTTGTTAGTTTAGGTTCAACAGGGTTAGGTTATATATATATATTTTAGGTTATACCATCCCTCTGGTGTTTAACCAGTAGATAAGTAGTAGATTATAAATTAACCATTAGAATTTAATTTTTTAATTACATAGATGTGATGTATTGGTTCGTATTTTACATTATTTATTGGGTGATTTTAGGACGAGCTGAGTAAGCCTTTTAGCAAGGAAAGCACTCGAGCAAATGTAGTGATGTCGCATTTTATATCACTGTCGAATGGTAGTGATGTCGCCTAAAAACGAATTGACGGGATGAAAATTGGTTACTTAATAACAAAAAAGTAACTAAAGAGGAAAAATAAAAAAAGTCGACTGGAATTTTCCAGGCTTTTCCGCCTAAGAACAGTTGTGTTAATCCCTTAAAGTTACGTTTTCATTGAGGCAACAAGAGAATGAAAGGAGTTGAAAGAATGAATGAGATCACAAAACCGGAGTTGGAAAAAAGGAACGATGTTCAAGGAAAACTAATTTTAACTAGAAAAAAATTGTGATCTTGCGAGTTAAACTACTATAATAAAAAATATTAATTGCTGTAATTTTCTCTTTTAATGGCATTTTATGACTGAATCGTTCAATGAGACAGTGAACGATTCATTCGCGAACCAGTTCCTACGATTGACGATTCCCCACGCGGGTACAGATGTTTGAAAATAAATCCCTTGTTTATTATAAAAATAACTTTTATGTTGATGTTAATGTTATGATATTGTTTATGTAAAATGTCAGTCTCAAACGTTTGCGTCTTAATCAATGAAATTCCAACGGAAATAGTCATCACATATTTTGAGTGAGTATTCTTGAGAAACACAAAAACGAGTTTGCTGTATATAATACACTGTGTGGAGTTTATACGAGAGGTTTTATTTATAATAAATGTTTTCTCTTAATTAACAACGATAAAACAGTTCAAAATGAATGAAGTCAGTTTTAAAAATCGATAACATTGGATTATCATTCAATACATAAAACTATGTATCGTTTGTTTTGGTTTACTTGAGTGGCTTATGTTTCAATGCCCAGATGCTCAATAAAACGCGCACCATTCTTCTTTTTGTGTACTTTTGTCACATATTGTCTCAAATTTTCTACATTGCAATTTTCGAGTTACTTCTTGGACTGCTTCCCATGTGCTCAAACTGTTCGAGACAGCCCTCTGATATTTCTCATTAGTTGTAACACAGGGTCTGCGGGGTGCTGATGAAACTGTATGTTTGTCGTTTTACGACCACCATTTTGTCAACGTCTATCCTTGGTGGTTTGGTTAGTGAGGTGCGAGGGTTTTTTCAAATCTAAATCATGTTGCCAGAATCACCCACTGATTTTTGGCTATCCATAATCAGATTTGGACACATACTCTCTGGCCCAAAAGTAATTGTCTGTTTCAACATCGTTTGACCTATTCTTAGTCAATTGATCAATCGCCGCAGAAAGACCCACTGCCAACAGCGACTCTCTGCACCAAAGGGTCTACCTAACACGCAGTTACTTATTGTGTCCAATTTATGAAATAAACTGATAATTTACAAGAGTGTGGATGAATACAGTGTTATGGAAATGGACCAAACTCTCCAGGTGTCTGGGGCTAATTTGTTCAGGATCTCTTGTGCCTGACACCAGCCGCCACCACTGGAAATCTCATGAGAGGACAAAATAGCAGCTGAAAGTGATTACTTATCACAGGCAAGTAGTGGGTAAGAAATATGGATCATATCAAAATTTTACACTACGTAAATATTTGTAAAATCTGCAGTCTACAGCACTGCCTCAAAGCTGTACAGAAGTTCCACCGAGGAGGTTGATAGGGCCTGAAGCATGATTTCTTGCTGGGTCAAATTTCTGGCAGCAAAGCAAGATATGGCCAAGCCTCTGGTCATCTGCGTTGTCACGGTAATGACATTTTGAGGAAGACCTGTGGTTAATTATATACAAGTATGAGCCGTGTATGTCATGACCTTTATATGGTAGTGTAAAGAGTTTTGCTTTTCCAACTCCCGCCTCAACAAACCAGGGTTGGTTTTTTTAATTTTATTAAGAGTGGGGAAGAGAGATTGATAATATTTTGTTTTACATGTTTAAAAATAGTAATAATTTTTTTATTTATTACATTGATACATGCCAGATACATATGTGAGCTTTGGCCCAAAAGTGTTTGTCCATGTGTCAACCTTGTATAACCTAGTCTTAGTCAGGTATGATGCACTTTCAGTGAAAAATGAATCACTACAAATATGCATAAGATTTGTCCACTGTTTATCTTTATTCAATCTATGGTACATTTATAATTGATACACTTTTATTTTTTATTTAATACATGGGCTTTGTCCCAAAAGTCACTGGGCCAATTATTAGTTGGGTACGATCCCCATTCTATTCAGATCCTCCAAGGGCCACCTATTGAACAAGCTCTTGCTATTTGAGAGCTTCTTTGCTGATCCCACCCACGGACACTTTTAATAATGGTTTTTTATTGCATTTTTAGCATTGAAAGATCGGATAGCGGTGGTCAGGTCTGGAGGTCGGGTCATTCTGGCCTAAGCTGCTTCCACTTTCTTTCATTACCCTACAGACCCATGAGTACAGGGACCCAGGCACACACCGTTTTACCGAGTCAGTCCGGTACATGGTATCTCTCAACAAGAGCACAGTGGGAGGGTTCATGGAAGATCTGTCATGAACTGCTCACCTTTGATTATTTATGGTCTTTATAAAACAAAAGAGAATTAAATAACAATGTGAGGGGTTTTTATCTATGAAAGGTTGCTTCGTTTAAGCATAATCATGATTTTTCAATTGTTTCCTTTCTTTTTAAAGCAAAGTATTATTATTTTTTTAATATTAAATTTTTATGTATATTATGTTTACTTTGTTTTATATTATTAAAGTTTTAATTAGTGCACTAATACAACATATAAATTTATTATTTTTGTAGCGCTTTCAGAGGTCTGATCAGTTTCCTCTTCAGAATCATGTGAGATTGGTTATAGTCTTTACCACAAGCTACAAAAAGAATAAATTTATATGTTGTACTATAAATACAAGTAGTATTTGTTAGTTTGTTAGTTAATTCGTTCACTAATTACATTTTTTAGAGGAGTATTTTATTGTGTTTGTAATTTTATTTTTATTTTCAGAGATAAATTGTTTATCATTTTGACACAGTATAAAAAGTCAGGCTCATTGATTCTCGTTAAAAAAGAAAACATTCGATCGCTCGAAGATCATGAAGAAGTGTACAAACTGACGTAAGTAGACTACATATTGTGAGAGATATTCGGTTACAAACCGATAAATTAATATCATCCTCAAAAAAAAAAAAAAAAAAATTATATATATGTATATTCCTTTTATTTCAGGTTGCTTTTAGGACAAGAGGAAAGCAATACTTTGGCGTTTGTAAGAACAATCTCAGAACATGTAAAAATCCCCAAAAATACATTGTTTTCTATTGGTCTCAAAGATTACTCAATACCGACTCTAAACGCTATAGTCAGCATGCTTAACAAAATAAAAAAATGGTATGTATCAAAGGCCAACATTTTTTTTTTTTTTAAATTTTTTATACAAGTAAATTAAAGTATTGGGTTGTATGGAAAATATTGCAGGTTTTCATGTTTTCTTTCAATTTCCCCTCCACATATAATATACATATAAAACTTTACGTTTCATGGATTATTCTTTTGTACAGATGTCAACACTGTTTAATCCTCCTCAAAACAATGTTTGTTTATATCAGTAGTATTTCATTACTTTGGAATAATGGCATTCTAACCCTACAGGTGATACTTGACATCACAGGAAAACAAGAACAAAAAAACCTAGAATTTATAATTAATAAATCTAGAACTATTTCAACCTTCCTCATTATTTTATTATTGCCTATGGATTTTGAGGGCTAATAGCTACTTTCATGCTTCTGTGGGAGTTTATACGAGACTTTGTGTCTCTTTAGTATTCAGTAATTCTCTTATATAGCAGTCATGTTGAATCCAATTAAAAAAAGAAAAAGAAAAAATGGTTTCACCATCCTTTCAATGTCACATGCATAGATACAATGTGATGAACAATTAGGGCAATCAATTTTAGTTTCCATTTTATCTTGAAACCCAATCCTGTAATTTTTTATTTATTGGTAACTTTTTTCTCTATATCCACTTATATTTGTGTTTTCATATATTTACCATCATTTTAGGTTTACTTTGTATTTGTCTTCTGATATTAGGCTTCAAAGCCTGTTTTTGTAATAAATAAACTAAGGATAAAAGTTCAACCCTACCATCTCGAAAATATTCTGCAATAAATTCAATTTTAATCAGGTTTTTCTTTATTCATAACTCATGATTATAACATCTAAGTTGATAAGTACTTTTAATTCCTTTTCTCCTATTAATAAATTTTAATTAATTTTTTCAGGTGATGTCTTTGGCTCACAGGTCTGATTTAATTATTAAACATTAAACTTTGTAAGATAAAAAGCAACATTGTAATTATTCTTGCTGTTAAATAAAGAATTATATGACATCATTATAACTTTTATGTTAGATCAAGTAAGGAAAGTGTAAGTATTGTTTTTTTCTTGTTCAACAATAGCTTGACATGCCACTTCATATATTCCTCGAGATTTGACACCTAATACAAAATAAAAAAACATAATTTCTAATAAACTTTAATGCAATTTATAATAAGAATAAATTAAAAATGCCATGACAGTAAATGCTACAAAATTGGCAATATCCCTATTCATTTTTTGAGCATTTTTCTTTAGATAGATCAGTACAGATCGTGTCCAATTGGTAAGTACTTTTAAATGTATTGATTATTGCTGATTGAAGAGCGAGGAGGGTATGATGCGGTAAATTTATTGGTTACAATGTCATTTTGCTCATCATAGATTGATGAGTACCGTGTCGATTTCTTTCAATTGCGGCCACCGGTCTCCTTAGGCACCAGAAAAAAAGTACAGAGGCAATGGTGGGGATCGGACCCACGACCGCAGGAACTACTAGCCGAGAGTTTGACGCCTTAACCACGTGGCTACCGCCCTAATAGTAGTTGATTATTTAAGATGGTGAGATGCAGTCTGGTGTGACGTAGGTTTAGAAAACATTTTCGTTATAGTGCCGATGTTTTGATCTTTATTGAGATCATCTTCAGGGCCTGGGTTTTATAAACATTGTTTAAATTTTACAAATACATGTAGGATGTGGAAAAAAATTGAATTTATACAATACTAGAAATTTTAGACTGGATTAAGTATTTGTACTCATGCAAAGTGTTTGTTTTCTGTGTAAAAAAGCTTTGATTGAGTCTAAAATTTCTATCATTGTATAAATTCAATTTTTTCCACATCCTACATGTATTTAAATAATTTAAACATTGTTTATAAATCTCAGGCCCTGAAGATCATCTCAATAAAGATCAAAACATCGGCACTATAACGAAAATGTTTTTCCAAACCTACATCACACCAGACCGCATCTCACGACCTCCAAATAATCATCAACTAATGGTCACTAAACATCACACCTAATAATATTTTTATTAATTATTCTTTTTATGTAACACGTCACTGGTCTATTGAGCCGAAGGTCAAGGGTTCGAATCCCGCACGTGATGCTAACTTTTTCATCTCATCCAAGACCATAAAAACAATAATTATTTGAAAAAATTAAAATGGTCAATTAGACCACTAGACATAAATGTAATAATATATTAGTTTTATACGGTCACTATACACCACACATTAGTTTTACATTTTTTGGTCTTTTCATGTAAAGTTCTGGTATATTAATTATTTCATATTAGTTATCTTGTATGTGTGTTTATATTTGTATAATTTTATAAATATAATCTATTTTTATAAATAAAATAGATTAAAAGTAAAAAAAAAAAGCTTGTACTTCCATGACGTCACACGCGACGTAGGGCCGGGCACTCCAAGCCGACCAGCTGTTCGTCTATTTTCAGCCTATTTTTCAGTTCTAAGTCGTCTGGTCCTGAAAAGGTTTCCTACGATCTCTGTGAGGAGTATCTTCGACCCAAGGAAGTGTAATAAATCGCTGACAAAAATGAGGATTTTCCCTTTTATTAAGACCCCGTTGACGGATTTGACTGGCCATTTGTTGACCCATCAGGAGGGCCCTTGTGCAGATTTCGAGATGAAGTTCGTAAACTGTCAAGAAGCTTACGGTGAGAGGAGGGCCTTTGAAAAATGTGCAGATATCTTCGCAGATCTGGAAGAATGCTTCACCCACCAGAAACAGGTACTTGTACCAAAGCGTTATTACAATTTTGAAAGGATTTTCCAAAGGGGAAGGGGTTTATGAAGTAGAAAGCTATAACTTTGAAGAACTTCTTTTAAACATTAGTGGTGTTCTATTTGCGTTCCCCCATTTTTATAAAGAGATTACTGAAAAATCTTTTTTTTTTGTCGATTGAGGTGGGTTTTGGAAGCCTCATGATCTAAACGCTGTAGGAGCTGGAAATTCACTCAGCATAATGATTGCACACCATCTGATCTGGCTCAATCTCACTACATAGATCTTCTCCCAGTAAAAATCCCGCAGCAAACATCTTCAAATTTCTTTAAAAAAATATCCTTAATTTTCCTTATCACCATTTATAATCTCAGTCTATCTAACTACTAATTTCCAATTCTAATTTCCAATCCAGTGGAAATTAGCAATCATAAAACTCATTCTCAAATCTCATAAACCGCATCTCCTACTGACTCATTGTAATATAATAACACTAAATGAGAAATAAATTGTATTGTCATTAAACAATGTATATAGCTTGTATATATGGTATTAAAAAACAGATATGAAATTTGACATATGAGTTATTATATATATTATTATATATTATATATATATATATTATATATATATATATATACGATGCCGATTTAATATTTCATTTGCTTACAGAACATGAGGGTTTACGAAATGAGGACGGAGAGACTTAGACAGATTAAAAGTGGAGAACTTTCCAAAGAAGAAGCCTTCTTACCCGGTCCTAAAGTCGATAGTTACTAAATAGTTAACTAGTTTTGTTCCCTCAATTTCTTCGGTTATGAGTGAAAAATGTGTTTATAGAACAAAGCTTGTTTCTTCTACATTTGTCATGTTGTAAAAAATAGATATTATGATCCAATAAAACTGTTTGTTTCTTGTTCTTAGGTTTATTTTTTTCTTTTTCATTTATTTTCTTTAGAATTTGATTCATTCCTGATATTTTAAATAGTAAGTATGTATTACATTATGGTGGGTTCAAATATTATTAAAAATGTTTTCATTATAAACTCAAACTTTTAAAATTAATGTTAAAGTTGTTAAAGTGAAACTTTTAATAACAAAATATTATCATGCTATTATATTGTGTGATTGTTATAGCCAGTGATTGTTTATTTATTTATTTTTTTTAGATAATTTTCTTATGTAATAAACATGTTATGTGAAAACCTGAGATATTTCACGGAACAGAGCATGTATATGCACTCAAAAATACATGTTAAACCGGCACTGGGTCCGTCTGTCTGTGGGTTTTTGATGTTACTAAAATGTGTTCGGCTTTGTACCATCCTTAGTTAGGAACTGTACAAGTGTGTTTTTTGCGCTTTACCCTTACAGATTAACAAAAAAATGAAAGACATTACTTTACAATGTAAGTTTTTATGAAAAAACTGTGTACTAGCAAAACTATCATATTTAAATTTAGTCAAACTTGTAATAAATAATTTGTTCATTTTCTTACAGTACTTCTGGATAAGTTATTGATCATGAAACATAATAGTTACACTAGATAATGAAAATTACTTCCCATGGATGAACAGGGTACGCAAGGCTGTGTTAAGTGCTCTATATAAGTATTTATACTTTTTATCTAAGGTATTGATTGAGATGAAAAAATTAGTGTTATGAGTAGGATTCGAACCCACAGCCATGTGATCAAATGACCAGGTGTCAGTTTCATTTGAGATTGGATTGATGGAGAGCATTGCAAATTGTTCTACTTTATCCACATCATCCGGCATGTAGTGAAAGGTTGCTTGATATATACCACATAATTGAAGGATGCCATTCCTTGGCTCTACATAGAGAGCAAGTAAGAATGCCACTCAATATGAGAATTTGCAGGAGAGCTGGACGTTGGAGAATTTGGACCCCCGTTCGGATTTTTGGAGGAAGCGGCTGATTTATTTTATTTTATTTTGTGTTTTTCTTGTGTATATTGAGGTTGAATGTTTTTATTAATCGGAATAATAATCGTACAGTGTAAGAGGGCCGATGTTGGGATATCGAGTAATTAAGTGAGTGCTATATAAATAAGAAATAAAGAGTGAGTGTCTAGGTTTAATGACTGCATGGTGAATCTAGCTGTTGACAGCCCCTTGAGGTTAACTTAGACAACTGGATGGATAAGATCGAGGTCTGACCCTGGACTGTGAAAATCCAAAGTTGTTGATTCTCACAGTTTACCTGTCAAGTCATAAGTCCGATTCTGTCGGCATATGATATACATGTGTAGAGTTAGGCTTGTGTAAGTCTGTAAGTCTGAAATCAGTCATGACCCAAATATGTATAAAACTTGCTGGATTTAGATTTTCTTTTATTATTAGATTTTAAACTAATCACAGGCATATTTTTGTGGGTTTGTATTAAAAAAAATCTTGTGTGTGATTACAGTTTCATTTAAAATTACTATGGAACATCATTCTGTGTAATTGATAGTTTGGATCTTTGCTCGTTTCTTTCCACTTTTAGATAACGTTTGCCAAGGAGAAAATTGCCTTGAGTCGTTGACCTAATTACATCCTTTAAAATCTCGTTCTGCTCCTTCAAAAAAAAAAAAAAACACCATTGCATAATTCATCTGGACAGTCAGCAGGGGACTTAGATGCTTCTAGATTTAAGGGAATCTTTCAAAGACCATCATTGTAATCAAATATGAACAAATAAAAACCTTGGGATTCTATGCTCGTTAAACAGTTGTAGATTCCAGGTTATCATGTCTAATAATTTTTCAAGATCTGATCTAATTTATTAACACAGCAGTGCTTTTTGTTTGCCAGTTGTGTACCATAGCCATAAACTTATATCACTCCTTACACAGGGCAGGCTACCTGAACCAAGACTACTAGACAGCGAGCCAGACTCCCAGCCAAAAGCTGCACTAGCCGATAAAATAATAAATTTGAGGCGAACATTTTTTTTTCTTAAAAGCATGAGAATACCTTGCTCTGGCAGATGTTTTGGCCAAGAATGGATGTAGTATCCATTACGTAGCACAAGTCCTGAGTGTGCTGCGCTCTACCATGATGGAGTACAGCGGTTTAGGGGTCAATGAAAGTCTTGATCGAAGAAAAGGTAGTTTTTTTTTTTTTTTTTAATTTCATTATAGTACTACTCCACTAGTTTTCATCTGCATGGTCTCTTATGACTACAGCTTAATTTCTTTGTTTGGTTTCTTTCACACTGTCTCCTTTGCTTCATATCAGTGGGGGGATAGTGTTGAATCTCACACATTCTCATTGTGCAGTCTGACATTATTACTATTATTTTAAAATGTAAATCGCTGGCGTAATATGTTTTAATTAATTGGGAGATCTTTTTAAATAATGCAGGTACATTTTCTATCTTAACTTTTTTCATATTGTGTGGTGTTTAGTGACCTTTTTTTTCCCATATTAATCTATGTATGTTTAGCGGTCATAATCGAACATATTAATTATTTCAATTAAATTGATCTAAGGTGTTGATTGAGATGAAAAAGTTAGTCACGAGATCAAAATCTAACTTAAATTGTTAGAGCAAAGGCGTATTGAGCCGAAGGTCGTGGGTTCGAATCCCGCTCGAGACACTACCTTTTTCATCTCAACCAAGACCTTAGATAAAAAGAATTTATTTGAAATTTTTTTTCATATTCATGAATACCATGTTGAACAATTGTGGAATAGGATGGATAACTATGCCATAACCTTAGAGGTAATAGAGTCTACATATTTGAAGCTTGTTATTTTTACTTCTTTTATATAGTCACACGTCTGGAATTAAAACTTACAAACGGATGATTCATCAACATATCGCACACAAATTTAACTGATCGATTAACTTTTGGATGTGTACAGACCAATGAACCTCCTGTCAGGAGTCGTTGCATCGTTAGTACTTATCGATGTCGTGACGTAAAGAATCATGTGAAGGGAAAAAATAATGACGTCACAAGAAGAAAAAAAAGGTGGGCACAACCTTCGTCAAACCCCATGGAGTCATGCTCCGTCAGACCCAGTGGTGGGGGTGGCGGGCTGTCAGACTAGACATACAGTGGTGGGGGCTCTCAGACCCGATGGTGGGAGTGTCTGCGAGGAGGAGGAGTGGGGGTAAAAACTGTCTGGCCCAAGTGTCGGCATATCTAGACCGCACCTATCAAGAGTTGCCACCCATTACCTGGAGGATGTGAGATTGCCAAAATGAATTGGCCAGCATGTTCTCCTGATATGAATCCCGTAGAACTTTTACGACGGGTTAGACATCGTTCTCCGCATCCAACAAGTGATGAACAGCTTCAAACCGCCCTTTTTGAAGAATGGGATTCCGTAGTCGAAATCCGGTTTCTTATTTACTCGATGCCTAGGAGAATTAAGGCTCTCCGTGAGGCAATGATTTTTTGATCTCGTTTAGTCTGGTTTACGTTAAAATAAGTATGTTGCAATTGATATAACGATAAAAATATAGTTTGAAATGAACAACAAAATTCGATTTTTTCTTTTTTTTTTGAATGTGGTTGCTTTATTTCTAGGTCTTCTCCATTAACCATGGCTTCTTTGGCCAGCTGGGTTACCCTTAAACCCACTATGACCTCCGATCTAGCAAAAGCTCACACGTTTACCTCGGCCAATAGCGTTTTCAACCTGATTAAAATGGAGACACTTAGTTATTATTTTTAGTTTTTACTTTTTCAAGCACACTTTTACCGTCCGTCAGGATTATTATGTTTACATGTTGCGAGAAGAGCATATTTCAACGCCTGATCTATAGCAATCGTTTCTGCACTGTAGAGTTGAGCCTATCACTTCTCGCAGTCCTCCCGCAATTCCAGCTTTTGTACAATGAATGAATTACCGGCAGGCCTCGGGAATCACCCACCCGGGTGTTGGCAGTCCGGGGTCAGATTCGGTCTTAACCGGTAAGATACCGAGGTTGAGCCACTGGGGGGGGGGGGGGTGCTGTCAACAGCTAGGTCAGTACACGCCGCATGTACTTACGTATTCTCGCTCACCATTAAACATTCTTTCTTACATACCATTCACTCAGGGTAGCGGAGTTCTCGATTCCTCCATCACCCTTTACCCCTATTATTACACTACACATTCACGCTAATAAACACATTCAATCTCAAAACGCACAAGAGAGTAAAATAATATCAGTAATATATACAATAAAACAATCCTGATTCATCAAGGAATCGGAACAGGGGATCGCCATAATGACTGCCGTGACATTTATTTTTATTCTTTCGCTTTGCTTGGAGAATACCAAACCCTCGCTTCCTGGTATCCTCATAATCATAGGAATGACAACAGCATAAAGGAATCCGATAGAAGGACACGCATACACCTGCAGCTCGTTTAAATTAGTTCATTTCTATTTTCCGTCTCTGTGGGAGGAAATGTAGGTGAAATCTTCAGAAATATCCAATTTTAGACTCAACCAGTGTTTGTTTTCTGTGTAGATGTGTCATTTGTGACGCATCCACACAGAAAATAAACACTTTGAGTGAGTACAAATATGTTGATTGAGTCTAAAATTTCTATTATTGTAGAAATTCATTTTTTCACATCCTACATGTATTTGTATCATTTAAACAATGTTTATAAATCCCAGGTCCTGAAGATGATATCAATAAAGATCGAAACGTTGGCACGATAAAGAAAATGTTTTTCTAAAACCTACGTCACACCAGACCGCATCTCAACTCCAAATTATCATTAACTAAAGGTCCCTAAAGATCACACATTTTATTTATAATGTAAAGAAAAGTTGGGAAGTGGTAATAAAGGTTATGTACTTGGATTATAAGTATTGACATATGACTAATCACTTTTTTTTAAAACTTTGAATTGACCTCGTTAACGGGCTGTTTTTAGCGAAGAGATCCAGACTAAAAATACACTCG